CTGGGTGACTCAGTCTGTTAAGTGTCTGACTCTTGGTTTCAGCTCAGGTCATGATCTCGCGGTTGTGGGTTCGAGCCCCGCGTCGGGCTCTGGGCTGACAGCTCGGAGCCTGGAGCCTGCCTCGGGTTCTGTGTCCCCCTCTCTCTCTGCCCCTCCCCTGCTCACGCTCTGTCCCTCTGTCTCTCTCAAAAATAAATATTTAAAAATACATAAAAACATCAACCGAACCCCACCCCTCCCCTGCCGCACGTCCACTGTGGTCCTCACCACCCTCCGGAGAGACCCAGGACCCTCGCCTCCCACTGCCCCACTGGTCTCGGCTGTCCCATTTTGAGCCTCCCTCACTCCAGAATATCTTAGTGACTGACTCTATTTATCGTGACGTATCTGTGTCACCGCTGTGTCCCCACTGCCCAGCGCAGGGCCCGGCACACAGTAGGCGCCCAATCAATGAGTGGAACGGCTCAGTCCCAGCTGCCATTAGCCTAGGAAAGTCACCACGCCTCCAGGTGTCAATGTCCCCGTTCCCTGGCCAAGGTCTAGTTTCTCTCCACGCTAAAGGGGGCAGGAGGGACACCAGGAGGAGAAAATGCCCCTCTCCCTGGAGACCCTCAGCCCCCAACGTCCAGTGACCGGCAGGCACATGGCCGCGGGCTGAGGCGATGAGGCGGGCCGGCTAAGTGCCAGGCGGCCTTCGTCTGCGAGCTTGAAAATCAGAGAGGACTCTGTGGCCTGATTGAGCTGGGGTCCTGCCACGGAAGGGAGGCGGCTCGGGGACCTCCCCCCGCCTCCACCTGCTGTCCCACCTCGGTTCTCCCTCTCCAGCACCTGGGCTCCAGGCCCCTTTTGCTCTGACCTCTAACACCTCCAGCTCCGGTCTGGCCTGCCATCCACAACGGACACAGGACTCCCCAGGCCCAGGGACCAGGCTCCTCAGTGCAAATCGAAACAGCCACTAGCCCCGTTGTGGCCAAAACGAGCCCTCCCGCCACCCATAATTCGTACGTCGGACCCCGAACCCCCGGGACCCCAGAATGTGATTATTTGGAGATCAGGTCTCTACGGGGGTGATTAAATTAGACTGAAGCCACTGGGGTGGGTCCTAATCCAATATGGTATCCTCACAAGGAGACGTGATGACACAGGTGTGCAGAGGGACGACCCCATGGGGACACGGGGAGAAGACGCCGTCTGCACGCCGCGGAGAGCAGCCCCACGAGGAAGCAGCCCCGTCCTGATCTCAGACCTCCCACCTCCAGGACCGGGAGAGAATACGTTAAGCCGCCCAGAGGGGGCGCTACGGCCCGTACTAGGAGAGGAGCTTTGGTGCCACCCGCCAGAGACCCCCAACCCTCCGCTCAGCATCTACGGTTTCCACGGGGCACATGCACCGGAGACGGAATGCAGCTAGTCGCAACGGCAAAAGGCCAGAGACAACCTAAACATCCCTCAACTCATTCCGTACAGGCTGGGTCTCCCCGCGGGACGCGATGCTGAAATACGCAGACGTCACCTTACGGAGCCTCAGACGCGTTGCTCGGTGCACAGGGATCAATGGGAAAGACGTACAGGCCAAGGATCAAAAACTACAGCCCCCGGGGCCAAATCCGGCCCCTTGCTCGTTTTTTGTGAATAAAGTTTTATTGGCACATGGCCACGCCCATCTGCGTCCCCATCACCTACGGCGGCTTTCCAGCTGGGGCAGCGGAGCTGAGATGTTGCGACAGAGAGCGTCTGGCCTGCAGAGTCAACGATATTTGCTCTCTGGCGTTTTACAGAGAATGCTTCCTGCCACCTGGATGTCGCTGCTATTTGTGAAAGAGAAACGACGTGCACGCATTTGCTTACGAATGCCCAGGAGGAGCAGACGCCTGGTGAGTGCTCTGGGGGACGGGACTGGGGGGCTGGGGAACAGGTTGGAAAAAAGCCCCCGTGGGGGAGAGGTCTGAGCCCCGGGCATACAGTCAGGGGACAGAAAGCCAAGATGGGGCCAGGGAGAGGCAGGCAGGCGTCGCACCGTCCTGTTTCTCCAGGGGGACGGGAAAGCGGTGGCCCGCGTCCAGCCGCGCGTGGAGGCCCGACGGCCCCAGTCCCAAGTCCCGTCCACTGCGTAACCAGGCGCCGTGCAGGTATTTTCCTGTGCCCTCCTCAAAGGTGGGAGCTATTTCACAGCGGGGGAAACTGAGGCTCGGACAGAAACATACCCGCCCCGGGTCCTACGGCCAGGACGCAGCAAGGCTGGGGCCCGGCTAAGCCCCGAGAAAACTAGGAGGGGCCGGCTGCAGAAGTCCCAACCCCCCAGACTGGACCCATTCGGGTCTGAGGAGCTGGCTGCACCCTGTCCAAGGTGGGTCAGGCCCGGTTTGCTCTTCTTCCTGGGCCTGAGGCCTGAACCCCAAAGGTGGTTCTGACCGGCTCCCGGTGGAGTCACGGGAAGTTTAGGCCCAGACCACCAGGCCTCAATTCCTGGAGCTCAAAGCCGGTGTGCGCCCACCCGGGAAGCATCCACACCCCACGCGTGCTCACACGTGAGCCCTTCCCGCGAGCGTGCAGCCCTCGGGGGTCCCCGTGAGTGCGTGTGGGCGGCAGCAGCAGGGTGGCGTCTGACGGCACCAGGAGCTCCTAATTAAACAAAAATGTTCGTCGCGTACCACATTGCGCCCGATTCCTCGGAGTTTAATTAAAACAACAGCACGGGAGGCGTGAGCGGGGTCCACAATCAGATGGTGGGGGGAGGGA